TGCCCCACAAACACCAACTGAGCCCAGAGCCTCCATGGTGCTGCGCATTGCACAGATCCTGAGATCGGGGCCCCTATTGTGCCAAGTATCCCCATATCCTGTGAGCCTGAGCAAGGATTCCCTGGGTCTCTGCTACAGGGCATGGCATGGTGGTGACCAAGACCTCCTCGCCCTTCCCCCATCTTAGCAGCGCTGCTGCCCCCTGCAGGGTGAAACCAGACCTGTTCTGCTGTGCATCAGCCCCCATGTCAGCAGCACCAAGGGCAGGGTGGCCTAGTGCCAGGTTAGTGAGTTAGAGCCCCCGCCCTCAGCACATGGATTAGGCGGGGGATTGCTAACCTGTGGCTGTGGTGATACAGCTACCTCTGGAGTGGAGCACAAGAGCTGTTTATATCGGGATTCCCTCATCTGACACTGAGATGTAGCTGCTCCTGGGATGGGGGCGGGCAGGGGCTGATTATACAGGGATCCCTCGCCCAGTGCTGAAATGCGGCTGCCTCTAGGGTGGGCTGTGGGAGCTGTTTCTATAGGAACCCCTCACACAGCACCCAGATGCAGCTGCCTCTGGGGTGGAGTGCGGGAGCTGTATAACAAGCCAAGTGGATGTGGGGAAAACAGTAGACACGCTATATCTGACCGTTAGTAAAGAGTTAGTCCCCACTGACATTCTCATAAGCAAACTAGGAAAATAGGGTCTAGATGAGATTCCTATCAGGCAGGTGTACAACTGGTTGAAAGACCATACTCAAAGGGTAGTTCTTGATGGTTTCCTGTCAGACTGCAAGGCCATATCAAGTAGGATCCCTCCGGGGTCTGTCTTGGGTTTGGTACTATTCAATATTGTAATTAACGACTTGGCTGGTGAAGTGGAGAGTATGCTTATAAAAGTTGCTGGGAGGGGCTGACCGCACTGCAAGGCCAAGATTAGAAGTCAGAATGATCTTGAGACGTTGGAGAATTGGTCTGAAATCAACAAGATGAAATCCAGTAAAGGCAAGTACAAAGTATCACATGTAGGCAGGAAAAGCAAAGGTACAGATACAACATGGGACTCACCGGCTAAGCAGCGGCACTATTGAAAAGGATCAGGGGGTGAGAGTGGATCACAAACTAAATAAGAGCCAACGGTGTGATGCTGTTTTGAAAAAGGCAAATCTTTTTCTGAGATGTTGTCACCAGCTGACTGGCCCCTTTAAGAGGTAATGGGTCAGCTCCATCTGGGACTCATTCAACCCTCCTCCCCTCTGTAGACACCTGGCAGATAGGTTGTGTGGTTAAAATCAGTCCAGGCCTGTATTTATTATAAAGTGATTGTTTGGTAATGCTCCTCCTAGTGGAAATGGCCCCACAAGAAGAAATGAAGAATTAAGCTCTCATCAGCTCCTAGATGCTCGGTTATTGGTAGCCTCTAACTGGAAAAAGCAAATTAGCCCAATCACAGAGGAATGATTAAGAACATAAGAACAGCCATGCTGGGTCAGATCGATGATCCATCTAGCCCAGTAGTTTGCAACCAGGGGTATGTGTACCCCTGGGGGTACGCAGAGTTCTTCCAGGGGGTACTTAAATTCATCTAGCTATTTGCCTAGTTTTACAACAGGCTACATAAAAAGTACTAGCAGTACAAATTAAACTTTCCTACAGATAGTGACTTGTTTATACTGCTCTATATACCAGCATTTCTCAAATTGGGGTCCACTGACCCCTGGGGGGTCTGTGAGGGTACTCCAAGGGGTCCGCAGGCCTTGCTGATCAACTCCTCCTCCTTCCTCTCAGTGCCTCCTGCACACCAGGGAACAGCTGTTCAGCAGTGTGCAGGAGGTGCTGGGAGGAAGGGGGAGGAGTGGGGATGGGGCACGCTGGGGGAAGGGGGCAGAAAGAGGCAGGGAAGAGGAGGGGCAGGGGTGGAGTGGGGGCAGGAAGAGGTGGGGCAGGGGTGGGGCCTGGGGCTGAGCAGGGGGCCTTGGGGGTCCATGGAAATTTTTAAATCAAAATGTGGGGCCTCAGGTTGCTAAAGTTTGAGAACTGCTGCTATATACTATACACTGAAATGTAAGTACAATATTTATATTCCACTTGATTAATTTTATAATTCTATGGTAAAAATTAGAAAGTCGGCTGTTTTTCGGTCATAGTGTACTGTGACGCTTGTCCGATTTTGTAAGCAAGTAGTTTTAAAATGAGGTGAAACTTGAGGGTACGCAAGACAAATCAGATTCCTGAAAGGGGTACAGTAGTCTGGAAAGGTTGAGATCTAGCCCACTATCCTGTCTTCTGACATTGGCTGGTGCCAGATGCTTCAGAGAGAATGACCAGAATAGGGCAATTATCAAGTGATCTATCCCCCATCCCAGCTTCTGGCAGTTGGAGGTTTAGAGACACCTGGCTGTGTCCCTGACCATCTTGGCTAATAGCCATTGATGGACCTGTCCTCCAGGAACTTATCTAAACAATATGGGAGGTTGAGGTTAGGAAGAAATTAACACACCAAATACGTACCCAGAGAGGGAGAACAGATAGATATTTGGTTACTTTTTATTCAAGGCTCAGACAAAGTCACCTGCAAAAAAAACCCTCAGCATGCTGGTCCAAATTTTGTGACTCTTAACATTTGATAGACATGCCTGGTCAGTTAAATATGTGTCCATAGTGATTTCACTCCGTTTATCGCTAGAAGGGACATATTCCAGGTGTTGTAGCAAAGCACACTCTATAGTATGGTAACACACTGTTAAATAGAAAGATCTGATGACTACAATCCTGAACACTGTCTCTTAACAAAAGCTAACTGTTGTAATGATTGTTTGATTTCTGATATTTACATGGCAAGGATTTGTAGGCTTGTTAAAACTTCCTACCTAAATACACAGATAGTTTTAAAAAAATCAGTGCAGGCCTGGAGATAAAAAGGAAGAGTCACTGGAGAGCCCAGGGGCTGTGTGTGGGCACAGAAACAGACAGCTGGAAAGAGATGTCCCTAGGAGATACCTGCTTGCTTGTGACCTCTCCCAGCCCTGCGGGAAAGGACAGGATTAAAAGGGGCCATACAAAGAGGCTGATTGAAGGCTGCAGCTGGCCTGAATGATCAGTCAGACCCCAAGGAGGGCTGTGGGAGCCCAGAAACAAGGCTGGGACCTGAGTGGCACAGGACTAATTTGACATACTGTAAGAAACGAGACCCCTCACAAGGGAACCCCTGTTTAAAACACTCTATGGGAGAGTGGCTTCTGAGCAGAGGTGGGATGGGGGCAATAGAGGGCAGTGCCTCTCCAAGGCTGTGTTGTGCCCCATGGGTGTGTGTTCGAGGGTGTTGCCCCATCACTGATGTATTAACAGGAGTGTTGTATGTAGGACATGGGCGGGCACTGGGGAGGTCTCAGCTGGAGAACTGTGTCCAGTTGTGGGCCCAGTGCAGCAGGAAAGATGTGGACAAATTGCAGAGAGTCCAGAGGAGAGCAACAGAAACGATGACAGGTTTAGAAAACCCGACCTGTGAGGCAAGTTTTTTTTTAAATTGGGCCTGTTTAGTCTAAAGAAAAGAGGCCGGACGGGGACTGGATAACGGTGTTCACCTATGCTAAGGGCTGCTATAGAGAGGATGGTGATCAATTGTTCTCCATGGCCACTGCGGATGGGACAAGTAATCCGCTTACTTAGTTTGCAGAAAGGGAGATTGAGGTTTGACATTTGGGGAAACTTGCTAACCCCAAGGCTAGTTAAGCCCTGGAACAGGTCCCCCAGGGAGGTTGTGGCATCCCCATCACTAGAGGTTTTGAAGACCTGGCTGAACAAACAGATATGAGGAACAGTCAGGGTTCTCTGGAGCCTGCTGCAGCGCAGGGGGCTGGACTACCTGACCTCTCATGGCCTCTTCCAGCCCTACATCAGCTTGTGCTGGGTGCTGCACAGAGCAACCCCCAGCAGAACCTGGGGCCCCATGGGCACAGCACAGAGACAGACCTGACCCCAAAGAGCTCACAGTCTGCATAGACAAGGGTGGGGGGGGAGAGACTGAGGCACCGAGTGGGGAAGGAAATTGCCTGAGGTCACCAATCGGGGGAGTGGTGGAGCCGGGCAGGGACCCAGTTTCCCAGAGTCCCAGCCGGAGCCTGGGCCACAGGGGGAGCAGTGTGTGACTGGGGAAGGGGCTTGAAGGGGAGTGGGATGTGACTGGAGAAGGAGGGGTCGCGGGGGTAGGGGAGTTGTGATTGGAAAATGCAGCCTGGCCCCGCCCCAATTTCCATGTTTTGGCGGGAGCGGGAATTTCCAAGCGCAACAACAAGAGAAGGTGAGTGAGCCCCTGGCACTGCCCAGTCCCTGAGACGGTCTGTCCGCCTCCCGGGAACAGGACCTCTCTGTGCACCACGGGCGGCGGCGGGGGTACCCCGAGCCCCGCCGCAATCCGGGCATGGGGGGCAGCGCCCCAGAGCAGGGACCCCCCTGCGATTCCGGCAGGGGGTGGAGGTAGCGTCCCAGAGCAGGAACCCTCCTGCGATCCGGGCGGGGGGGGGAGCACCCCAGAGCAGGGACCCCCCTGCGATCCGGGCACGGGGTGGGGGCAGCGCCCCAGAGCAGGGACCTCTCCCCTCCCCGCGATCCGAGGACCGTGTTGCTAAACCCGATTTCCTTCCAGTTCAGCTCCCTCCCTCTCTCCCCTAAGCGCAGGTGAGTCGGGACGGGCTGCGTCAGATTTACCTGGGGGGGGGGGGGTGCTTCCGCGCGCAGCGTGACCCTTGGGGACGCGCCTTGGTGGGGCCGGGGCGATCCGCGGGGGAGCGGGACTAGCCCAGGCTAAAACTGCCGCGCCTCGCCCCCAGCTGCTGCGTGTCCCGTGGGGCTGCTGGGGGGGGGGGGGTGTCAGTGACGCCCCAGCCAGGCCCCGGCGGGCGGGAAGGGCCGCTGGGGTCCGGACCCTTCTCTAGGGGGCTCTGGGGGCGGGGCGAGGCGAGGCGGCCCCGCCGGATGGATGCGCTGCTGGGCTGTTCCCGGCGCAGAGCCGCCGCCGCCGCCTGGAGACTGGGCCGAGCTAGCAGGTGAAACCGCATCGGCCTTGCCGGGCCGTGGAGCCTCAGCCCGCTGATCGCTTCCCGTTCCCGCCCCCGGGGCGTCCCCGGGCTGGGGGGTCCGGCCGGCCGCTGGCGGAGCTGGTGCGAAGGGAACAAACCGGTTCCGACCCCCTCCCCTCCCGCTACAATGTCGCTGTCCCCTGCACTGTAGCGATTCCGTTTTCACGTGTGGTTGCACTGGGCAGCCCTGCTGGCAGCCGGAGGACACATTCCCCGCCTGACCTTGGGGGCTTTGTAAGGGGGCAGGACCCCCCTTTGCCCTTGAGGGGGAGCAGAGGCATTTGAGCCGGAGACAGAAGGTAATGACTGTGCTGGAGGTCACTGGATTGTGTGCAGGTGGGTCTGCAGTTGGAGGGTCACGTTCGGGGATCTCTGCAGTGGGGGGTGGCTGGATTGTGGTGGAGGTTCGGTTCCCCTCCTGTGGGGAGGTTGGGGGGTCAATGAGGGGTGTCATAGCATTTACGGAGTGAAGATGGGGGGGTGTTGGTGTGTGGCTACAGAGTGTGAGAGAGAGGGTTTCAGTTCCATGCTTGGCTCAGGGCAGCCCTTCTAGGAAAAGGTCTGGTTTTGCCCCATAGACCTGAGCTGGAGGGAGAATACTCAGGCACTCTGTGAGGATGGAGCATGCCCAGTGAGGATGGATTCTTAGAAATGTTAGTTAAGCTCTAAGGAGTCTCTACTGAGCACCTGTGAACTGCAATATTTTCAAATTTGGGTGGGTGGATGGATTTTCATGGGGATTGTAAAAGGCAGGGCCCGCTCCAGGCACCAGCTTGCCAAGCAGGTGCTTGGGGCGGCCACTCCGGAGAGGGGCAGCACGTCTAGCTGTTTGGCGGCAATTCGGCGGACGGTCCCTCACTCCCACTTGGAGCGAA